AAAACCTGCTTTTGACTATTTTGTCTGAAACTAAGGACAGAAAATTACTAAGAATTTCAGCTGGTCAATCTGCCATTGTTATCACTGTAAATGACATATGTGATGTGTGAGAAAAGGGGAAGCTTGACAGCTGTATAGCAACAGTAACTTACAGGGATGGGGTTTAGCAAACAGTCGATTCACTCAACACGGACAACGCGGCTAAATTAACAATGATTTGGGTTGTTCACAACCGAGTTTATTATACTTAAATGCTTATTTAAGAAAATTTCCTTGCCACTGAACTTGATTCTAAAACATTTTAGGCTTTTATTCTTCAGTATCAACAGTATCACTGGTTCTAATGCTCACTGATGACATCACATAACTGGGTTATCACAGTATAAATTTATAAGTAGAAAGTGATTTGTTGATTTGATCTACAACATTAGTGAAGCAGTAGCAGGGCCATTTCATTTTAACTCCTTTTCTGGCTAAATGTCAGTTTTAAAGGAGCTTATCATACACCCCGTTTGATATTTTCTCATTTTTCCTTCAAATAAGGTCTGAGTCCAGATGATATAACTCTCATTCAGAACAGAGAAGAAGCCTCAAAAATAACTCAGGTCCTGTGCTCCAAAGTAGGAGAATTTTACATCCTAGTCAAACTTTCCATATGATTTCTAGCAGTGATTCTGAGATGTCTGAGAAATACGGGACCTGGTCAGCTGGGCTTTTCTGGGTCAGAGGGAGAACCTGCCAGCCAGCCAGCTTATGAGCCAGACTCCTGCCTTCTAACAGGAAGTCCTCCACATCTGGGTCGTCCCGTGGCTCTCACTACTTCCTTTCCAGGATGTGCTCACCCATAATGTCCATGGCTGCAGAGGTTTTGATGGAGCTCCCTGCAGAGCCAGAGTCCACAAACATCTGGGGTATATCATTCCCAAAATAGATTTTGCTGTTTGCTGCGATGGCCTTGTACTTCATTAGCTGCAGGTACTCTGGTGTTAACTTCAGCTGTAAGAGGGGCAACACAATGTCAATCATAAAAGAGCAGTCTGAACTTTTCAGTCCTTAATTGGCCAGGCTATGGTTGGATGTGTGTTTGTGTCATCTCGTCACCTTATTGGCCTCAGCAGCTTTCTGTGCTGTGTAGAACTCCGCGTCTGCCTTAGCTTTCTGCCGGGCCAGGAAAGCACGGTCTGTAAAACACAAACACTGTCAAAGGTCCGCTCTCCTTTACTGTTCAGAATGCAAGAAGCTGGTGCAAATACTGACATCTACAAACATAAGTTCCATTTCAACAGCTAGTTCCCTGACGCCAACAGTAAACCAGTGCTCAAAAGAAACACGACTGAAAATAAACAAACACTCCATGGCTGCTGAAACCCATTAAAAAATTTTCTGAGAACCATAAAACCAGTGTTTATCTTTAATCACAACCACTGCTGATGTACAGCTTTCTCAAAGTGTTCATGTTTGCTTCTTTCTCATAAGAAATCTCTCCACAATACATTTCAGATGCAGATATTGTACTGTCCACTCCTTTACATTTATTTGACAACTAATGTAATTAGTGGCCTTTTCAGATTAAGATTTTACATAAAATGTGTTAAGATAAGTTTGTAAAATGCAATGTTCTGTTAAAGATTATACATGTAATTCCCAACCTTGTTTACTTTGTCATATTTAATTAAAAACAGGTTAAAAGGATAGTTGTTTATCTTTGTCTTGACTGTCATGAATTGTTTTTCATTCTGACATGAATTTTCCATCTCATATTAAAATCAGGACAGCATAGACTGAATGAAAGAATCAGGAACATCCTGTCTCAAAGTGATGCTGAAAAACTGGTCCATGCATTTGTTACCTCCAGGCTGGACTACTGTAACTCTTTACTATCAG